TTTTTTTATATTATGAGGATTTGTTTCCTACTTGCATTCAAATAAATTATGAGTGATATTCTTATTTCTATCATATCATATTCCATATTTGTATTCTATATGTGATTCTCCCATCATACAGGCATGAACAGAGGTGAACTTGAATGCTTAATAGATAGTGGGACTACCCACACCATATTGCGAAATAGGCAATTATTTGATAACTTTGTAGTGTATAATTCATCTGTGACAACAATCATTGGATCATCACAAGTTGTTCAAGGACGAGGTACAATAGTTTTCCTTCTCCCAAATAGTACATTTATTAAAGTTGTAAATGCTCTATATGCACCTAGAGCTACTCACACCTGATTAAGTTTCAAAGATATTCGTGATAATGGTTTTCATATTGAAACACATTGTGAGGATGGAATAGAATACCTTTATATTACCTCTAATGAATGCGGAAGAAAGCGCATTTTAGAGAAATTTAAAGGCAAAAGTAGTGGATTGTACATCACTACAATTCGAGCAATCGAGTCTTATTCTATAAACCATGATGAAATATGGGATATTGACTGTTATAGGCTTTGGCATGATCGACTAGGCCATCATGGACGTGATATGATGATCCGCATCTTAAAAAATTCTCACGGTCATTCATTCTTTCGCAGCAAGGACAAAATAAGGGAAAAATCCTAGCACAATGTATAGTGTTGGGTCTAATCTTGCCCAAAGCAAAACAATGACTTCTAACGTAATAGAAGAATCATTCATGTCTCATCATGCCCCATTAAGCTTGTCAAAGGCTCAAAAATCTTTTTGTGAAGCCTGCTCCTTAGCAAAAATAAGATCGAGACCTTCCTATGCTAGAGACTCAAAAGAAAATATACCATTCCTACAACGAATACAAGGAGATATATGTGGGCCTATCCAACCAGAAAGCGGCCCATTTAGGTATTTTATGGTTCTTGTTGATTCTTTGACACGCTGGTCACATGTTACATTATTATCAACAAGAAATATTGCATTTGCGAAACTCTTGGCACAAATTATTCGTTTGAGGGCTCACCACCCTGACCACCCAATCAAGTCTATAAGACTTGATAATGCCGCAGAGTTTACTTCAAAGAAGTTCGATGACTATTGCATGGCTATTGGGATCGATATAGAGCATCCTTTACCCTATGTACATACACAAAATGGTCTCGCAGAAGCCATGATTAAAAGATTACAAATGGTAGCCCGGGCTTTGCTTATGCGTACAAATTTGCCAATCTCTACATGAGGTCATGCAATATTGCATGCCTCTTTACTTATTCGTTTTAGACCACCGCTGCACAACCGTTTTCTGCATACCAGTTGGTGACTGGTTATGAGCCTGATATTTCACACTTACGGATATTTGGTTGTGAGTTGTACGTGCCGATTGCGCCCCCACAACGCACTAAACTGGGTCCTCAAAGACGATTAAGTATTAACGTTGGATATGAATCACCAACAATTATTCGCTATATAAAACCGTTGACTGGTGATCTTTTTACTGCGAGATTTGCAGATTGTCACTTTGATGAGACAAGATTCCCGTCGTTAGGGGGAGATAAGGAAAACAATTTTACAAAAGAACGATAGGAATTATCTTGGTGTGTTCCAACTTTGTCTCATTTTGATCCTCGTACTTCACAATGTGAAAATGAAGTAAAAAGAATAATTGATCTTTAGAACGTGGCAGATTCCATGCCCGATTCATTCAATGATATTGCAAAAGTGACAAGATCACACATACCAGCTGCAAATGTACCTGCAAGGTTAGAAGTCCCAAACAAGGGACACAATGCCATAATGAAAGGAAATACACCCACGCCTAGTGGAAGTGCGGGTGAGGTCGTGGCTCCCCAAAGGAATAGAGGAAGACCACTTGGTTCGATAAACACTCGCCCAAGAAGGAAAAGGGCGTGTATGGCATAAACAAATCCGTTAATCATCGATGTAGAGCATTCATCACATGAGATTATCTCTGATTATAGCTATGTCTATGAATCATTACTGGAGGACGCTCTGATGATTGAGATGATTCAAGAGAACAAAGAAATCTCAATGGATTATGGAAATGCACATGTGCTAATAGATCGATCTTCAATATACATCGATGATATATTTGCTTATAATGTTGCTTTAGAAATTATAGAGCACGATGATATCAAACCACGCTCTATTGTAGAATGTCAACAAAGAGCAGACTGGCCTAAATGGAAAGAAGCAATCCAGGCAGAACTAGATTCTCTAGCAAAGCGACAGGTATTTGGTCCGGTAGTGCTAACCCCTCCAAGTGTAAAGCCTGTAGGACATAAATGGGTATTTGTCAGAAAGCGTAACGAGAAGAATGAGATCTTAAGATATAAAGCTCGCCTTGTGGCGCAAGGTTTCTCACAACGCCCTGGAATTGACTATGACGAGACATACTCTCCCGTAATGGACGTTATAACATTTCGGTACTTAGTGAGCTTAGCGGTTTCCGAAGAATTGAAAATGCAACTAATGGATGTGGTTACTGCATATCTTTATGGGGATCTTGATTCAGAGATATATATATGAAAGTACCATACGGTGTTCCCTTACCCAAATTGAATGAATCTAAACCACGGAGTGCATTTGCGATTAGATTAAAACGCTCACTTTATGGATTAAAGCAATCCGGTAGGATGTGGTATACTCGCCTAAGTGACTACTTGATTGGGAAGGGATATAAGAACGATGAAATATGTCCCTGCGTATTTATAAAGAAAACAAGTTTTGGATTTGCAATTGTAGCTGTCTATGTAGACGATATGAATATAATAGGTACTCTTGATGAAATAAGAGAAACCGCAAGCTACTTGAAATCAGAATTTGAGATGAAGGACCTTGGGAAAACTCGATTTTGTTTAGGTCTTGAACTAGAACATCGAGTTGGTGGAATACTAATCCACTAGTCTGCGTATGTCCAAAAGGTACTCAGGCGATTTAACATGGACAAAGCGCATACTGCTAGCACTCCCATGGTTAGCCGAAGTTTAGATCCTAAAAATGATCCATTTCGTCCAAAGGAAGAGGACGAAGAGGTACTAGGAGCTGAAATTCCATACCTAAGTGCAATAGGTGCATTATTGTACTTAGCACAATGTACTCGGCCAGATATATCATTCTGAGTGAACTTGTTAGCTAGATTTAGCTCCGCACCAACACAACGTCATTGGAATGGTATCAAAAATATATTTAGATATCTAAAAGGGACCAGTGACTTGGGACTATTTTTCCCTTACAAAAGGACAAAAGGAGATATGGAATCTAAGAAAAGGGTTGGAGAAGGGAGTTCATTACCAAATCTAGAATTTCCGAATGATGTCCTAATTGGGTATGCTGATGTAGGGTATCTATCCGACCCACACAAGGGTCGTTCCCAAACTGGTTATGTATTCACTATTGGAAACACGGCAATATCTTGGAGATCAACCAAGCAAACTCTTGTAGCTACCTCATCAAATCATGTTGAGATAATAGCTCTACATGAGACTGTCCGCGAGTGTATATGGTTAAGGACTATCATTACACATATTCGAGGGGCTTGTGGTTTGAGGTTAACCACTGAAGAACCCACATGTATCTACAAGGATAATGCAGCTTGCATCGAGGAAATGAAACTTGGAAACATCAAAGGGGATAACACCAAACACATTTCTCCAAAGTTTTTCTTTAACCAACAACAACAAACTCTCCTCAAGATACAAGAGAACCAAATAAAATCTGAGGAGAATGTGGAAGATTTATTCACGAAGTCATTACCTAAGGACACATTTGAGAAACATGTGAAAAATATTGGAATGCGTAGACTCTCTAATCTCCCTTAAGTATGTACACATCAGGGGGAGATTTGATTCTTGAGAAAGTCCCGCATGTACGTTACACTTTTTTCCTTACAACCAAGGTTTATTTTTCCCATAGGGTTTTGTTACTTGGTAAGGTTTTTAATGAGGTAACAAGGTACATGAATAATAGCGATCGAAGTAAGGATCGAAGAAATAATAGTCTTAATGTAAGAAGTCAAAATCACAAATCTCTAAACAGGTACTATTTCCTTCGATCAAGGTTATTTTTCCCACGAGGTTTTTGACACTTGACGAGGTTTGACAAGACATCAAGATATTGCTATTCTACCTACAACCCAGCACAAGGGGGAGTGTTGAAGGAATTTATAAAGTAGTGTGCTGTTGTGTAGATAGAATTTATAGTATATTGTGTAATACATTTGTACTGGCCCAATGGGCCCAATCTTGTAAACCCTAAAGTAGCCCTCCCCTATATAAGGAGGCTATTACTAATGAAGAAATATACCTCTCCCTTTAACATTAAAGTATTTATTTGAATTGTTTGGAAATTAAGTTGTGTTTGGATACCAATTTAGTAGGAACCCGATTCGCTAATCCGTGTATTCAGGTTGTGCGCGTAGGAGGGTTACATAATGGTATCGGAGCATAAGGTAATAAAACCGATCTTTGGATCACAAACAAATGGTTTCCCAAAGGCTGCACCACATCTCTCGCAACTCATTAACCCCGGGAAGATAATAATTTCATAGCTTTGTTTAATATGTGTTGTTGACTGACTAGAACTTATGTGTGGAATTTAGAATGAGTGACGCATCGGCTCACGCACACGACAACACCCAGCAAATTGGCAACAAGCACGTACGCCGACGCCCAAACATAGGCATCCAACTTCATGCCTCATCAGAATGCTAGACAACCTGTTATACTACTTAATGATGAGAATAACCATAATAACGGGAGCCAGCCCGAGTTTTCCATGTCTCCCTTCATGGCTCAGTTTCTACTATAGATGGAGAATGCGATAATGTTCCAGCCGCCACGTCTGATCACGTTCAAAACCCCTCAAAGACAACATAGCAGAAGAGTTCCTTGGAGATCGATTTGCTGAACCACATGTTATAGTCGACCGGATTGATCAAGTAGCTAGAGTGTTGAGTGACCTGAATGTCTTGATAGAAGACCACCCCAGGCTTGTGTCTCAATTGCTCCATATATAAAGGGGCGTACGAATGGTGGAAGTGTACTGACCGCGACCCGCAGATGCTAACGTCGTGGACGTTGGCCTATTTTGATTGGGCCTTCAGGAAAGAATATATACTAGCCCGCATCTGGGAAAAGAAGCGTACAGAGTTCATGGAACTAAAGAAGGGGAACATGACTCTTGCTGAGCTACAACAAAAGTTTGAGCACCTGGCTTTGTTTGCACCTACGCTGGTATCCACACCAGCAGATCGGATTGAGGAGTTCCAAAAGTGGCTACGCCCTTACGTTTGGCCGTATGTGTCCATAATGACCACTACTGACTTCTTCGAGGCATACGACCTAATGGCGAAGGCTGAGAAGGACGTGGATGATCTTATGGCAAGCTTGAGTGCCGGAGAGGCTAGACCAAGCCACCGACCAACAGCCAGTGCGGCCAGAGACCATTTGGGGGGGGGTACTAAGGGTATCAAAAAATCCAAGAAGACCAAGTCCACACTGCCCAGTCGCAGCCAATGAGTAACAGACACAAGCCCTCAAGGCAACCAGTTTGCAACCTATGTGGAAGGAACCACCATGGGGACTGCTGGTTCATGCAGGGTCAGTGCCTAGGTTGTGGGAAGCCAGGGCATTTCCGTAAGGACTGTCCTACTAATCCAGGATTAGCTTTTGCCATAGACAAAGTTCAGACGCAAATAGCTGCATAGAGGCCTGCACAGAATAAGATATCTACGGCGAATTCGAACATGTAAAGAGGCCAGCATAAGAAACAAGACCAGAACCGGCAGAAGGGACGTACTCCCGAATGCACTTATGCCATTAAAGGGTGTACTGAAGTCAACTGTGATGTCATCCTAGGTATGTTTTTGTTATTTGATACTCATATGCTTGCACTAATTGATCCAGGATCTACTTTAACCCATATTTGCATCCCCATGTCGAAAAATATGAGATCCATAGAGGCAATCTAGAGTATCCCATGATAATATCTAACCCGCTAGGGAAAAGCATGCAACTAAACCACTTATACCGCAACTGTCTCCTGATGGCTCAGGGACATTGACAGTCCGCTGAGGCCTGAGGGACATTGATTGTCCGTGAATATAATCGAGTTACCATATAGGGAGTTTGATATTATCCTTGGTATGGACTGGATGATCGAACACCAGTCAATAATTGAATACGGACTGCATATTGTACGGTTGAAGACCAGTGACGGTAACATTGTGGAGGTCAAAGGGGAGCTCTTCCCTTAACCTCCGGAGTTCATGTCATTTATGCAAGCGAAATGACTCATCCAAAAGAAGTGTGAAGCCTTCCTGTGCCATGTTCACGATATTAGGAAGGAAACCCTCGGGAAGAAAGATACTCCAACCGTGTGTGACTTCCCCGATGTATTTCACAACGACCTTCCTAGCTTGCCACTACCGAGGGAGGTGGAATTCTTAGTTGATATTGTAACACCCTACCTGCATAACCCGAATACTCAGATTAGCGAACCAGGTTGCTACTAAATTGGTATCCAAACACTACTTGACTTTTTCCAAAACAAACCAATTAAACATTTCAAAACATAGTTTAACACTCATTAGAATAATATTCAAAAACAGTTGTGAAAGCTTAATTTCATAATTTAAAAACATAACTTGGGAATCATGCCCGAAATAGTAATAAGTTACTCCCTCCATCCCCAATTTGATTACAAATTGCGGGTTACGGAGTAAAGTTTTCTACTTTTTGAAATCATTTTATTTACAAATTGGTATATCAATAAGATATAAAAATTACATATTAAAAAAATTCGTCAAAAGTTCTACAAAACAAGAGGTGACAAGAATATTTTATTTTATCAAATACTTAATGAAATCGCGTAAACAAACAAAAGTTATCGAGAGGAGAGAGAGAAAAAATTGTAATCTATTCAGGGACGGAGGGAGTAATTTAAATAATAACAAGTAATAATTCGAAGTCATCGAATACTGTCACGCACATCTCACCACCCTCATCGACCTCTGGGATTGGCTCCAAATTCCCCATTCCTTGGATTACCTTAGCATAGGCACAAATATTACACGCTCGGCATTGAAGCTAAGTGAGAAATATCTAACATATAGCTACACACATAGATGATCCCACAAGCCCATATCATCATATGATATCATGCACGCAACATTCTTAGCAACAATTGTTGAAACACGGGCTTGTCACGTTTTTCGTACTAAAGCCGTGTTTGTTTTTATGACAGGTTTTGATAATTCCAAACCGCCGTGATCAAGTCAAACTTTGAATATACAAGGCGAAGAACGAAGATAAGAACAAGATCTAAACGAAGACCAAGAACGAAGACCTTAGTCTTAGTATCGTTGAGTCGGTCTTTATTGTGATCAAGACCGACCCAATCTCTACACCTTGGCTCTTTAGGCTAAAACTTTCATTGCATTTCTTACATCATAAAAATGTTTTTCAAACTTGTTTATGTCATTAAAAACACTTGGTGTTCACCCAAACCAAAAACCAAGCCCTCCAGTGTTCGGCTTTCAGAAACCAGCATTCGGCTTTCGGTTATCGGCATTGGTTTTTGGCATCCGAACCAACCAAGTGGTTTTCAGAATTTTATGATTGGTTTCCACTCTTTGGAATGTTTAAACGGTTCTCCAACAAAAACACTTTGAAAACCATCTTTCGCTTTTGGTCGTTTGACAAAAACCACGCAAAACGGCGTAAACTTGGCTAGCCGTGGTTTTTACTCAAATGACGTGGTTTTTAAAGTAA